ATAATAAAAACAAATAAACCTATAAATGTATCATCTCAGATTTCAGCCATAAATATTCATCTACATGCTTTAAAACAGGTTAATAATTACTGTAAAATCTGTATTAAAAGCTGCGGCTTCTATTGAAATGGTACAATGCAACAGAGGGGATGCGACTTCTATTAGAGCATCTACACATATGAGAAATTGTGAATTTTTGGGTTCTGAATTGTTCAAAAAGAATGGGTGCGGCATCTATTAGAGATGCGGCTTCTAATACAGATTTTACAGTAGTAAAGACTTGCCTGTAGGTAATTATTATTGACATATGAACTAAAAGATTGTATGCTACTATGGATATTTGATAAAAACTTGAAACGTATCCCATCAACATAGTTGGAGGCACAAAAATATTCAAACATGATTATTATTATTCTGAAAACTTCAATATATATACGATAGTAGCATACAACTTTAACTATATGTTACAAGAGTGATCAGTAACATAACGCAGGAAATGCACAGGGGCTGTGCATATAAATGTGGTATATCTGGTGCAGGAATTCACATTTTTAAAGGGTTGTGCAAAAAATAAAGGCATACAAAGGTACATCGACAGGACAAAATGGCTAAGTCATAGCATAGACATATGGATTCGATATCATGAGAAATGGAAATGTTTTTTATTTAATATGTAAAATAGTGTAATTTGTATGGGTTTATAAAGAAAATATGGGTCAGGAAGAGACAAGGAGTATGAACATGATGATGATGGTGATAGTCAAAATGAATGACATCATTATGAGCAATTTCAAATTAGAACCAGATCAGTGAAAAATAAAATAAAGAAAAAATCAAAAAATGAGAAATTGACACTTGGAATCGTTCATGTGCATAGACAGCCATTCTCTGTTGATTTACCAGTATAAGCTGATATAAGCCTACAATTTATGTGATACACAGACTCCTAACTTCACATTGTTACATTGTTATGATTAAAGTTATGTATGAGCACAAAAAGAGACTATAAAAAAATGCATAGAATTATACCTGGATAAGTTCTCATGTATCCCTCGGCACTGCCAAAATACTGCCATATCAAGCTGGGATCTTCTTTGTAATTACTAATATACACTTCGTCCAATTTACTAGTCCATTTTATTCCATTCAAAATCCTGGGATCTGTAAATGTTAGCAAAGGATCATTGGTGAATAATACAAAAATTTAGAACTTGTATCTAATAATTTCCATTCACTAGCATACATTTGCATACCGACATCTATTGATTTAATAAATATACTGTAAAATATTTCTCTTTTTTTTTTATGATTTAAGAAAAACATTTTGTGAAAGTCATAGTAACTTAAATATCCCAGTGAAATGTTCACTGCTGCAAAAGCCATGTGTTTGTTTGTTCAAAATTCATTTTACCAGTATTCCCAAAACTCCAGTAAAGTTTTAAGCACATACCTCCTGTAAATATGTCTGTTGGTATATGAACTACACTAGCTGTTGTGTTCACTGGCTGACCAAATTTGGTGCTATTAGCCAACGTTAAATCAACATTTTTAGCTGGATGGTACTCCACATCATCCGGCTGAAAAAAAAAACATAAGGAGGGTTTACAAAAATATCCAAGCAGGTATGGATATGCAGCGGGAGAAGGGGGGGTCACACTGATTTCATTGTAAATGGAACATACTTTCATACAATGAAATAATTTAGTTATGCATTTTGAGTTTGTTTATTAAAGTAGAGGGAATTAAGTTAGTCAACTTACAGATTCCATTTTTGTTTACATTTCTGGTCATGTTTGAATTACATGTAAACAATGTAGCAGACATACATGTATGTTGTATACATGGGATCTACCCCCCGTATCTAACGCAACATGGCATGGCACGTTGTCCAACCTTTAACTGTACTACATGTATGACAAGCCAGAAGATTTAACATTGACACTGTCTGGGTGTTCTTTATGGCAGCACATACACCTACTTTAATAATTGAATAACTGGAAAGTTATTTGAAAATTTATCGTTTATTTAGGTATTTCTTAAATTCTGAATTAAGAGAGAAAAACATGCATATTCTAAAATGCTAACAGGAATGTAATGGCAAATGGTCTTCGTTGATGTTTTAAAGCTGGATTTGATCACATTTTAATTGAAAAGGGTATGTTTTTTTAAATATTTCAAATTTGGCACTGTAATTGATTTTTTGATTGGCAACAGTCACGATACAAGTACCGGTACAACAAAAACCATAAAAACATGTAATTCATTTTCAGAAGTAATGTATTTATCTACCGATACCTCGAAAAAAGATTACTTACTGTGATATCTGGGTCATATTTGTATACTAAACATTCTTCTTCAAGGTGTCTAACTAGATGCTGAAAAAATAGGAAAAAAGATGATGTTATTTACTATTACTGTATGAGCGCCCTCTTGAGCTGTCAACTGCAAATACTTTAGTTAGAAAGCCCTCTAGTGGTAACATTAATAGAATTAATATTGCACTTCCAATTGACAGCGCCCTCTAGTTACACTATAGGGAATTTTCCTGGATAAACATGCAGGAGAGCATATCATTATTTCTAACATAGCTATCTCATTTTTAAATCAGCTCCCTAACCCTAACAATTCCATCTACAAAATATCTTGAAATGTAAAACTATATAGTAAAGCAAAAACATTTCCCCAACATTATTTATACCATACATAATGTTGTCTTGGATTGCATGAGTAGACTTATGATAACTTCATAAAAAAGAAGATTCAGTGGTAATTTTCGTTACTCTGTTGACAAACAGGTCACACAGACATAATTCATAAACCAAACAAGTAATGAGGACACATAAATTGATTAAATTCATCAATCCAGGGCATCAAGAGCGACCTGGTGAACATTTCATTGCTAATATGAAATTCAAATGAGATGTAAATGATATCAAAGCACGAAGGTCAAGTTAGATGAACATGAATTGACTCATTTATGGAAGTACATGTAATAAAGAATATTTTGTATTACATTGCATTAAATGCTACTCAAAACATACATTTCATGGGACAAATTTTCGCTAATAAGTGAAAATCACAAGATTTTTGGAGCAATGAGGTTCATACGACAATCAATGTCAGTGACTTATTGTTTTCACAGCATGTCAAATCATGAATATTCTTAGCAAGTACAATTAACATATCACTAATTATGATACTTATTTGTAAATAACTTTGTTTGTACTTTGAATATTTAAAAATACTATTTATCACCAAGAACTAAAAATTTGAAAATCTGTCGTAAGGACATGAAAATCCTCTTATTAATAATGTTATTTATATGTCCATACTCACATTGGCAAGTTGAGTTCAACTCAAAATAGAGGAAATTCAGAATACCCTAAGGGTTAACATGATTTTTCTCTTTCACACACATATACATATTAGCTTCATTAAAACATATACTAGCTACTATGTAAAGTGTCTTAGAAATGCCTGGGAGACATGCTTAATAACAGAATATTCCCATCAATAGCAGAAAACTTCAACACAATAACAGGATACCAGTAGAAAACACAGTATAAAAATACATGTGTGCATGTATAGACTGTCTGTTAAATGAATAGTTTTTGTTTTACTACAAATAAATAAAATAGGAATTTTTGAAATATGTGACATAAACATGCTTAAACCAATTACAAAATTAGTTATTTAATATGCAAAAATGAGAAGCTGTTACCAGACATTGAACTACACAAACAGCAGCCGTGTACAAAGTTCAAATAAATATTATAAATATATACAAAGAGCATGATTAAACCAATTAATTATGCAAATAAAATGTACAGGTCATAAACTAGTACATGTGTACCCAGTTTTATTTTATTTGACAAACTGTTGGAATGTAAACAATGCTAAACTTAATAAATTAGTATGCAAATTAGCTAATTAATATGTACAGATTAATTCTAATTATGATTAGACATACTACTAAGCATATAGTATTGCAGCACATTCACTAGCTCTACTAGTAGAGTGACTGTGATTGCAGGTACATGTACATGTACCACGTTTCAGGCCTACTGAGCAAACTATATGTCATGGATTAAACAAGCTGAAAACAGTTAATTAGTATGTTAATTCTGATGCATTTATCGATGCAAACAGTATGTACGTACTTAGTTTCAACAAAAAATAAAGAAAACATTTAATCAGTATGTGAATTAGCTAATTAAACTGGACAGTTTTGAAAGTTTCAAACCATTGGAGTAAACAAATGTTACGATATGGAATAAACAGCCAATTACAGTTAATTAGTATGCAAATAAGCTAATTAACGTGTACATATTGTTTAGAATCTGATCTACACAAAATGCAATCACATACCAAGCGTCAATGCATTTGTTCAAATCAATGTAAAAATACATATTTTCAATGAACATGCTAAAACTAATTATTATCCAGATTTGCTAATTAACATGCAATATCAGTTGTACCAGACACGCATTCCATAGACAGATGGACGAATGGCTGGCCAGACAACCATAAACACGTACATTGGCATGACATTATTTCCTGTTTGTGCTTTGCAAACATGGGAATCGAAAAGGCAGTTGTAACTAATTTATAGAAGAAAAAAAAATTATTCCTGACTGAAAACCAGTCTGTTAGTATAAAAACAAGTATAGAGACTGTCAGTATTAAAGATAGAAGTCAGAATAAATTACATGTATATTGTTCATGTACAAGAGAGAGAATTACTTGTTAAAATAAAGTGATACTGGTGCAAGACAACTAATACATGTAGTGAGAAGACACCAAATCAATAACTAAGTAATCTAATATTGTATGTGTGAAACTAGTCTCAGTATGTAGACTGGACAACATGACATGTGTAGAAGAATAAGTTTAGGGTAATAAATGTACAAATTAGTCACTCACTTTGAACATATGAGACAATCTCACTCTAATTACATTGTACAATGTATGGAGGCTATATATCATGCAGCTGATCTCAGCAATTCAAACAGACGTATTGTGTGTTATCTACATGTATACATACTCTATGTTATACTATACACTGTTGCACTGTTACATTATACGTTTATATTATTGCCAACTAAAATGGGAATGTCTGGTAACAAATGATGCTCACAGATCAGCACTAGCTCGATTTACTGTGACAATGTTGCCCACAAGTTGTTTTATTATTAGGCAGTTTATGTTCAGGTGTGAATGACCGGTTCTTGCCAGACAGTCACAGCACATGTGCATGAGAACAAACTGAAAACAAGTGCGACAACTCATATACATAAAAGATATCTAGGAATGAATATAAATTTACTGCATCTTTTTAGAAAACGTTCCTAATTTGATTTAATAGGAAATTTATTGCAATCATAGAGAAAGTGTGACATTTCTATTGGTTTGACTTGTACAAATGTAAATTATTTTAAATTCAAAATTGAAAACAGTTTGAAACCGTACGCAACTGTATTCATTACTACATGTTATTAGGATTATTTCCAATGTTTAAAAGTTGTCTATAGAAACATGGATGACATTTATCTGTTTTGTCCCATATACATGTATATGTTAATATGGGCACCTGTGTTGTAATTCTACAGTTTTGTTTATGTACTGATCATATTTGTTGTGTATATTTGTGACTGTATTCTGTATTGTTTGTAGAGCTAGTTAATAGAGTGACATCATGGACTAGTATTATGCATGATACAAAGTAAAAAAAAAAAAAAAACTATTACATAGTGCAAATTTCATAAGTAATGGTTGAGAATAACTTTGGTATCATTTAGATGAATATTTACCTGGATATTAAGACAAAATTAAGTATGCAATTGGGATTATTGATTAAAATTGAAACTCAAAAATTTATAGTGCATACCTCTTAAGAAAAAATTAAATATTTCTCGTAAGTTAATTTCTCTTTATCGCTCGTCAAATAGCTATGTAATTTAGTGTGACCTTGTGTTTTTTTCTTTTTTTTTTTTGAGTTTTGTAATTTTTTATATAGTAGAAATAAACAAAATTGTTAAAAAAAAGTAAATGGATCACATGACCAACTCTAGACAGAGAAATCATACAGAGCTTCGCTTGCAGTGAATGCACATTTGCAATTACAGCCATAAACTGATATCAATAAATGGCAGAAATATCACCCTTTAATACGTTTCAAAATAAACTTTTAGTCGATATTATTACAAGCTAGTGACATTGCATTTAGTGCAATTGTTGTCATTCTGGAATTCTTGTATCACTGCAATAAACCCAGTACTGCTGTTCGTTTTTCTCCACATACTGTTTGAACACACATAAAACGAAGACGTTTAACAGCTGCTAGTGATATTTAATCAAATTTCTCACTATACATATCACATGCATTATTAGCTGGCATTATCAGACACTGCACGATTACCTTTTTTAACTACAACACTACTGTTACAGTAACAATATTCTAAAATCCTCTGTAGAGGTAAACTATCAAATAATTCAGCAGCGAAAATTCTTCAATATTTGTTTTGATATAGTGGTACACATTCATAAATAGTGTGCTATTTTTAGAATCATAACTACTTGCCAGTTTTGTGCACATAACTGCACTCGTTTGACTTATCACCCATGCTCGACAAAGCACCGATTCTCGCTTTTTGGATTCAATCATTACATGTATAAAATGTTATTTCTGTGACCTGCATGAAAGTATACATGTCATTTTTATTGTGAGCGAATCCACCATGTTTGTTGACCTCTCATTGTTAACTTTGACCTGATTAGACATGAACAGTCATGTGATACTGCTAGTACAAATGTGGTTCCTGACATTATCCAAATATTGACGAACACAAAGAACGCAATGCGGAAACAATTTCATAATCATGGGTGCAGTACATTAAATTGGCATTGATTTTCAATACAAAACTGCGTAATGTTGTTTTAAAGAAGCAATAAGCCATTTTTAAAAGATAATAATGATTGATTTTTAGAAGATTTTGCAATGGCAACAGACCAGACATATTTTACCCACTCACGCAATAATATTTTCTTAGCATAAATTCATTCGTGATTTTCTAGCACCATATATCACCCAATTTTTGCAATCATTCATTTTTACTCAACTCGATAAGACTTCACTCACCATAAATTTGTATTTTAAAAACAACTTTAATATTTAAAACCAATTATTAAAATCTGGTAAATATTTTAGAGTTATATGGTTGTTAGTCATGCCACATGATGTATGTATATATATAGAGAAAGTACTTTTATATTGGAACTCATCTTTTACCTGAGAATAGGTCATGTCCTAACAACTCTAGAGAGTCACAATACACTGGGGTAGGAAATTACAGCACATTATTTTCAGTGATCTCCA